CTGAATTTGACGAGGAACGGAGAAACAAGGCTCAGGAAATTATCGACCACTGGAAAGTAAGTATATGTTAAGATAGGAACTTTAACGAGTCTAAGGAAAGCTGACAACTCTTAGTTGCAGTTAAGAACTCTTGGTTCTCCATTTCGAGCGCAAGCTGGGAACTCATAGTTCCAGTGGCACACCTAGTCCACAGCTATGAACTCTTAGTTCGACGCTTGAGCGCAAGCTGTAACTCTTAGTTCCACAGTGATGAACTCTTTGTTCGACGCAACAAATATTGTAGTAAATCTAATTATACATTTTATTTTGCTAAGTTCTGGAAGGAGAAAGATGAACTTGAAACGCGATTTCTCACACTTTAAGATTAATAATTTGCAGGTGGGCTTAACTCTAATTTTACAATATAAGACCACTTAGTAATACTTTCCTTCAATCAGGTAAAACAACAAATGGTTGCAACAGGGAGTAACGCGATCCAAATTAGTGATAACCGAAAGCATCTTCGAAACAGTAATGGTGAACCGGTGAAAATTTCTAGTGAAAAGACTATTGAATGCGGTAAGAAGAGTAATAATTTTAGGCAATATGTGAAATTAACTTGTGCTTATCATTATCCCTTTATCTTAATCCAGAAGACAAACTCCCTGAAAATATTAAAGAATGGACATCAGATCATGTTAAAAAATTCCTCGAATCCAGAATGAAAGATTTAGATTTTAACGAAACCGATGTTAAGAAAATCAGAGGTCAAGATCTTACCGGTCGGGCGTTTCTTCGATTAACTGAGGAAAAATTAACCCGTAAGCCAGGTCTCTATGAACTAAAACCGAGTCCAGCAGAATCAATTATGGAGTTGGTGGAAGAACCAAATGAAAAATTAGGTAAGTAATTTGGATTTTGCAAACATTAAGTCTTTATTATACCATAACTTCAAGTTTTTTGTCTTATTCGTATCATTTCTATCTTAAGCTAAAAAAGAAGCACCATCAAAGTCGTAACTTAACAAGCTTCAGAGAAATCTGCTTCTTAACAATATATTAATAAAGTATTG